AGCGAGAGAGAGAGAGAGAGAGAGAGAGAATCGCGAAAAGAAGAGAAGGTGTCTGGTGATTTGATTGATTGATTTGATTGTAGATGTTGCTGTATAACAGTAGGTAGGTAGGTAGGTAGGGGAGACAGTTGAGGCTCTGCTTATTTATAAGGTAACCCCTCTCACACCTTTCAACTTTCAACCAGCTATTAATACCAATACCATCAAAGACGGGATTCACGAACTCCCCCTCATATTGTTGTGATTGAGCAAATAAGAAAGAATGGGGTGGGGGTGCTCAAATGCCTTTATATATATGTTTCTTTTCTCTTCTTAGCTAAAATCTGCCGATGTCAAAATTTGGTCTCACGAGCGAGTGACGAGGCGAACAAAAAAGCGCAGCAAGGGCCCAATAAATAGTTTCATTATGTCTTCAATTCCTACCTACCTAGTCACTCATTCACTCATGCATTCATTGAAGCTCTCCCGGGTGGAGGTTTCCAAGAACCGAATAAATCGAAAGATTCCCGACTCCAAGGTCCGCAAACCTGCGTCTCCGCAAGCGATCCAGCGATTCCAGGCTTTTCTTCTGCTGTCGTGACTACTGTCTCTTGTCGGGTTGTTGAACTTGAACTGTGAGGAGGTGGAGGCATCTTTGGCATCACGTTGAATGCAGGAGGAGCCATTGTGTCAATCGTCTTGTTGGCCATAACTTTGATTGATGGGCCCCGTGTTGCAGGATTTATGACTCTCGCTTTGGGTGGAATTATTGTTGTGGATTCTGCTGTCTGCTCCATGCCATTGGCAGGGTTGAAGCCAGTAATTCTTTCTTCAGCGCTGGCATCGATGTCTGACATGGCTATCGTGGGCGAAGGTTTAGGTGAAGGTTTAATCATAACCTCGCTCGAGACCGTTTCGATGTTTCTAGCTTCTTGCCAGTGAGGATGGACTCGCTGATCAGTTCCATTCGGTTGAGTGACTGAAACCTTGACACTTCCCTGAAAATGGTCAGTTGCCTGGGAGGCATTTTCCAATCTGGTTACAGTCGAGACAGTGGGAACAGTCCCCCCATTCTCCGTAATTCCAAGATCTCCCGGTGCCGTTGATGATCCTGCCGCCTCAGGTTCGCCAGTTCCCGGGGCTGGCTGGTTTGTATCGTTAGGTTCATCGACAAGTACTTGGCCCTCAACACGAACATGAGGCTTTGACAGGCGTGCCTCAGTATTTTCATCCGGAAGGCGGCCCAGTTTTAGTAGTGCTTCCTTCCGCAGAGGTGAGTTTGATTTACCCATCGTTTCCATCTCTGACTCCAAGGTAGCAGAGACACTGGAGTTCGTTGTCTTTGCCTCATCTGCAGCGGAGCTGGTATTCTTGGCAAGTGTCGTATTCTTGCCCCCAACAGTAGTGGAAATCGAGTCTTGTAGCGATATCCTCGCAGTGTCATCAGCAGCGTGGACGTCTGTCTGTGGTACAATCTCTCCTTTCTGAGCATATGTTGATCCATCGATATCGGATTTGCCAGTCCCCATACTCTTCTCCGTCATAGTACTTGAATTGACAATGATGCTGACAGGTTGAGACGGTACATGCAGGCCCTTATCCGTGGCATCATGCACTGAGTTAATGGTGCGGTTTAACTTCCCAGCTGTTGGGATATTCTCATCCATTCCTTCTATGACTTTTGGAATTTCTGTTGGCTTCTCGAGGGACCCAACACTGTGGGTGGGAGCAGAAGGAATTATCGAATACGCTTTGCCTGCGGATGGCTTTCTTCGTGATAAGAAGTTGTCATGCATGTTGTGATCAATCCCACTATCGATAGGAGAGGATGAGAATTCATCCAAGTCCAAACTAGGTTGTTCGTCATCCGGTTCCAAGAATTCTCCTTGCTTCTTGCAGTGTGAATTTAATCGTTCTCGCGCTTCAGGAGGAGTTGCCTCATCAGATGGTGGTGCACATTTCAAGCCTTCTTTAGGCATCTTCTTGCTCTTTTTCGAGGTTTCGCCCGAGGTCGATGGCCGAGATCTTGGAGGTTCCATTAACATCATCATTTTCCGTGGCGGTCTAGACTTGATCCGTAAGGCAGTGACGGGTTGTTCGGTTGTCAAACCGGTTGCAGGTGAGCTTTTGGTAGTTTTGTTTTCATGGCTCACGATCGGTTTAGGGGCATATTTTGGAGCAGATTTTGGTATAGATGAATCTATTGCCGAGGTGGAGGAAGATGGAGAGGGGTTTCGTGGCAAATCTGCTTCAGAAACCCTTGCGTTGCTGGCCTGCTTTGGTTTTGTGACTGTTCTAGTTGTTGTTGTTCTGCTAGATCCATCAATCACCACGAAGCCATCCTCCGATGGGGATGAGGCGCAATCGTCCTCCAGGTCAACTGAAGCTGAACTCCGTGTAGATATGGCTAGATTAGTCGCTGAGCTCTTCGATGCGAATGCTTCCATTCCAGTCAAAGTCAATGCCGCCCCAGTAAGGTTTCTAGCATACCCGCTTCTTTTAGGAGAGGATCTGTTTGATTTCCGCTTTTGTACCCTACCGGGACTTTTCCGGGAGGAGCTCTCGTCTCTGATAGCTCTCCGACCCATCCCACCACCCTCTCCTTCTTCCTTTGTAAGATCAATAGTCTCTGCTTGTGGACGCTGGATACTTGGTCTCAAGGGCTCGTAACGAATCGTTGGTGTGCTAGGTGGTCTTGTTGATGCTAGAGTTAATGTAGCACCTGTGAGGTTTTGGGCATAGCCATTCTTGCTCGGAGCAAGATGGTTCTGTTTCTGCCTTTTGGCAGGCCTGTGGTTTATGTTGTCGTCTAGGCTGCCTTGGTGCTTCTGTTCGAACGGCGATAAGTTCGATACCGTAGCTCTGCCATAATGTCCTGTAGGGGTCCCAAGAACTTCATTTAACGGTTTGGGCCTTGGATACAGTGCTGCGACAGGCGTTGAGTTCTGAGGCCGAATAGGTGAAGCTTGGGGCCGGGAGGGTGATGCGCCAGCAATCCTCGCCGCGACTCTCTCTTCTCTCTCCTTCACTCTCTTGTCCACCAACTCGGAAAGGTCCTGGTCCCTCTTCCCGATACATTCCCCAACTTGAACAAGGCTCCCTCCTCGTTCCAGCTCCAGTTCCTCTCCCTCATTGAACTCCGAGTCCTCGCGCCAATGTGTGTCGCCCACGAAGTTGGATCTCTCATCATAGACCATAACCCGCTTGTTGAAGGTATGGAACTTGAGCCGCCCATCCTGCCACCGTTTCTGCTTGCGTCGGAGATCTTGTGTGAATAGGCAGCGGAATTCAAGGACCGGCGCGGTATTATGAGTGGGGTGGACAGTCCAGGCTGGGGAGCTCATTGTAGACGATGCTGTCTGAGGTGAATCCAGATCCAACCGGGCGGAGTGACATGAACGTATGAATAACGCATGGCACCGTGCGCCTTCGCCTTGTGATGCTCGAGGTTGATGTGCAGGTGCAGATGCAGATGCACATTTGGTCCAGGGAGGGGCCCGAAACTCGACGATACGCGCGACGCGTATTGTGAAGGATAAAGCACTTTAGGTCCCTGTGGTATCCCCAGAAAGCTCGCGTGGAGGTCGCCGAGTCACGTGGCTGTCTCTCCTGCCTCCTTTTCCCCGCGCATTGCTGTATCGTTCTGCATGCTGCACTGATAAGACAAGACACTGACTGAAATAGTGGCAACCACTTACACCATGTCTGACCGATGAATATATCATCCTCGAATGTTGCTGCGTCCAGTGACCCGCAACAAGAGGTAAAAACACTCTTTTGCTACCCACTTTTCCCGGTACCTGAGGGTCAGTCATCCTCACAGCCACAGGTTCATTTGTGCCACAGCGCGCTGCAGAAGCAGGACTCTTGGATTGGTGCCCTTTCAACCAACCGACATCTCCGCGAGGCTGTGTCGCTCCTCCAAGAAATCTTACACTTCTATTCTCTCTTTCACTCTCTCGCACATTCGCTTTCTCTCTTTCTCTCTTACGGCTCCCCTTCTCTTGTCATTGCCTTGAGTTGGTCAGCCCTATACTAACTAGTGAAACATCAGCGGCGGGGTCCCTCTTCTCTTCCAAGTTTCAGCACTCACTTAGGCAACACTCACCTCGGCAACACCCAACTACTGGCACCATGAACTCAATACATCGCCAGTTTGGCAAGCTGGTGAGCAAGGGCGCGGGGGATAATGCGAAAGTCTCAGTTCTGCTCAGCGATTATGAGGATGCTGATAAAGCTCTCACGAAGGTTCGTGGAACGTATTACCTGCCAGTGTATGCCAAACTGCTCATACCAACTGACAGATTATCGAAGCCTCGAAAGCCTGGAGAGATGCGTGGGTTTCTATCCTCACTATTCAACTGGCGCTTGCGACTGGATTCGAAGAAATGTACAATCCCATTGTTGGGACGAGCGATGTACACCGTGACAATCCTGCCCTTACTCCGCAGGTACAACTCGATCGGACAGCCAAATTAAGGGAGGAAATGGCAGAATTGAAGACGGATTTAATGGATGAAGTTATCATGATGGACTCTCGTGTGATAGGGCCAGCCACAGATGCTAAGGAATTCATACAACCCATACGGAAAACGATCAAGAAACGGGAGAACAAGAGGCTGGATTGGGAACGATATATTGACAGAGTCAATAATGCATCCAAAAAAACGAAAAGAAGCGAACGTGAGAACGCTGCTCTAGCGAAGGCAGAGCAGGAACTAGCGAAAGCATCGGATGTATGCCTCTACGCACTCTTCTCTTGACACGGACTGATATATTTCTAGGCATTTAAAGTTGCAGATGATCACCTTCGAGAGACCCTCCCCCCTATAATATCCGCTACTTTCTCCCTCCTCCCGCACCTACTCAATGTACAAATCATGATCCAGAATAGCCTTCTGGCTCAGTACTACACAACCCTCCACAGATATTCCGAAGCTATGGGATTTCAATCACCCCCACCTCCTATGGTCGATGTTATAGCAATATGGGATGGCAATTTCAAACCTGTGCAGCAGCAAGCAGAGAGCTTGACTTGTATTGCCAAGGGCAAGGCTGTCCACCAACCCATGTCGCCTGAGGATGACCGTGGACGAAAGCCATCTTCTAGCCTGAATGTCCGCAGCGCTTTTCCAACCAGGCGTCCCTCCTCCCAAAACACAGCTAGCGACGCTGTCTCCCCCAACCCAGAGTCGCGCGTGAGGCGGATCCCATCTTCGAATCCAATTGCTGTCGCGAGCCCTCATCTCTCGCCCTTGCCACAACCAACATTGTCTTATAACCCCAGTCACTCTTCCGCCTCTCGTCCCTCATCTTCCTATTCGGCGCACTCCTCGGCTGGGCCCACCGGGGATTATTTCCAGCGCGCCGCGATCGCGAAGAAGAAACCGCCTCCCCCACCCCCCAAACGCATTGGATCAAACAACCTCGCCTTATATGCCGTAGCTCTATATTCATTCGACGGCCAAGGACAAGGCGATTTAAGTTTCAAGGAACATGATCGCATCAGGGTTATCAAGAAAACGGACAGCACGGATGATTGGTGGGAAGGCGAACTCAGGGGCGTCAAGGGAAGTTTCCCCGCCAATTATTGTAAGATTACTTGAGCCAGAACCTACCTAAAATGGGAGCAGTCTGAGCAAGGGAACTGATCTGGAAATCAGAGAGCAATTGATGATTTATGATGGAGGGGGAAAAAATATCAAGTGGTGATATAGGATAGATCTCGGCGTTGGTGGTACATATCCGCTTCCAAAGCACGGAGGGTACATACCTTACATATATACATGATGGAGATATGGAGAACACGTTGGATACCTTATTCTACAAGAAATCAGAAAATGTGAAATCCAATCCTCATCATTTCTGCATTTCATAACACCCCTAATTCCCCTTGTCTACTTCATCATATGTTCAGTGCTTATCTTTTCAAAAAGAAACAAAAACCACCTAACAAACAGATCAATGTTTTAATTTCCCGTGAAGTACCTACCTAAACTCCTCACCCCTAAATGTTCACTCTTCCTCCCTCCCTCACCTCACTTAGTAACATTGTAAACAAGTGGATCCCATACATTCCTACCTATTCTACTCACATACCTTAATTAGGCTCTCTGACGTGCTTTTCTCGTACATCGCAAATTCTTTGTACGATATTTGTACAGTTGAAAAGATCTTTAAATCCTTGCCTATACCTAGCTACAAAGCTGGTACAGAGATTTAGTGATGTACGACAAAAAACTAAGGGATTATATCTAGAGGTTGATGATGATTTAATTCACGTGATGATTAAGGGGGGCGATGTGAAGTACCTTAGGTGGGTGGGTGGGTATGAAGTAAAGCTTGTGGAAATTATGATTTTATTGGTAAGATGATATTGTTAGTTTGTACCTATAGGTACCTACCTACCTACTGTTATGACTTTTTCAAAGACTATAAGAATCCTGGCCAAAGCTGTTTAGGTTATGTCCAAGGGAGCAATGAACGGGTTTCAGATGTGGTCATTAGGGAAAGGGATGGGGAACTAGGGTAAATATTATAAGATATAACTATTAAGATGGATCAATTAGGGATCACGATCACGAGGTCATCATCAAAGACGGACAAGTGTGAAGAAGTGTGAATTCCCATAGGTTCCAGATCTAGCAAAACAAGCTCTATATTACAAGTGCCCATCCTGCGTGATGTACTGATGTACGTCCCATTATGCATTCCTGACACGATGTCAAGGTCACCATCCTTCGTGTTTCACGCGAGCTTGCATGTTGCAAAAATGGCCGACTGACCGGACAGTCCGCAGAAGCGGGCCAAAGATCTTTTTCTTCCAAATCCTATGGTATAAGAAACAAAAAACGCCCCCAAAATACATTAGACCTTCCTAATGTGATCTCCAACCTCTGGGAGAGCCAGCAGTTGGGGATCTACACTAGAGGCTTTTTAAAGAGCCAAAACGGCGAGGATAGCAGCGGCCGCGAGGCTGCTGAATCCAAGGCTGACTTGGGATCCAGAGGATGCGAAGACAATGGGTGAGGTTGGGGCCGCTGGGGCGGTGCCATTGGAGGGAGCCCAGGGGACGGGTGCCGCGGCGACGGTGGTGTGGGGGTAGTAGGCTCCTGTAGCGGCAGCGCCGGCGGGAGCAGAAGTGGCAACGCCTGCAGGAGCAGAGGAGGCAGCCCCAGAAGCGGCCACGCCTGCGGGAGCTGAGGAGGCAGCCCCAGAAGCGGCCACGCCTGCGGGAGCTGAGGAGGCAGCCCCAGAAGCGGCAACACCTGCGGGAGCAGAGGAGGCAGCTGCAGAAGCGGCAACACCGGCAGGGGCGGAAGTGGCAGCTACAGAAGTGGCAACGCCTCCAGGGGCGTAGGTGGTAGTAGCGGGAGCACTTTGAGGAGCGCCAGGAGCGGAACCAGGGACCGTGACGGGAGCTGGGGTACCAGTCACCAAGGCGACAGAAGTTGCAGAGCCAGAGACGGTGGTGAGGACAACTTGAGGCACAACGACTGAGGTCGAGATGACGGTAGTGGTGGAAGAAGATGGGATGGCAGTTCCGGCAGAGCTGCATGGGACGACCATGGTGGTGACAACGGTGACGGTGCTAACTGGACCAGCGGGCACGGTGGAGGTTGGTGCACCTGGGACGCTGGGAGCGCAGGTGATGAGGGCAGGGTTGACGGAGACATGGTTGGCGCAGATACCTTGGAAGTAGTTCTGGGCGGAAGCAATATCGGCAGGGGTGGCACCGTGAGCGTTCAAACACTCGAAGACTGAGCAGGCGAGGGCCTCCGATGGGCAGTAGCATGCGGCGTCAGCGTTGGAGCTGCAGTTGGTGGTGAGAGGAATCCAGGTGTTCAAACATTGAGGAAGGATGCTTGGGTATGGAAGTGCCGCTGGAGAGCTAGATGCCGGAGCAGTGGCGGCAGAGGTGATGACAGCCGCTGGGCTGGTGGTAGCGACACCCGCGGGGCTGGAAGCGGCTGGGCCAGAAGCGACCGGGATCGACGTTGCTTCCGTCGCGGTGCACTTTGTGCAAACAGTAGACCAAGAAGTAAGGTAGACCGTGGAAGTAGAGAGGCTAGTCTCAATGCTGGTGACACCAGATGTGACGTGAGTCTTGGTGACTGGGCACACAGTAGTTGAAGTGTCCACAACCACAGTGGTGATAACCTCAGACGGCGCGGGAGCGGTGGTAGTGACACCAGCTGCGGTGCTAGTGACAGTGGAGTAGGAGGTAACATAGGCTGTGGAAGTAGAGAAGCTGGTCTCAATGACGGTGCTGCCAGAAGTGACGTGGGTCTTGGTAACTGGGCAGACAGTGGTAGAAGTGTCCACAATGACGGTGGTAATAACCTCAGATGGTGCAGGGCTGCTTGCGATGCTGGCAGGGGAAGTAGCTGGGCTTGAGGAGTTCGCGTAGATTGGTGTGGTTGGAATGCCTGACGGGCCGGATGGGATTCCAACGCTGGAAGCGGTGGTGACGCCGGCTACGCTGGATGAAGATGAACCTGCCGGGCCTGATGGGATGGTAACAGGAGCGGTGCTAACAGTGGAGGTAGAAACAGAGGTCACGCGGATTGTGGAGGTCGTGAGGGTGGTCTCGATGCTAGTAGTACCAGAGGTGACGTGAGTCCTGGTGACGGGGCATACAGTAGTCGAGGAGTCCACAATCACGGTGGTGATAACCTCAGATGGCGCGGGAGAAGAGGTGGTCGCAACACCAGCCGGGGAGCTCGTGCTAACAGCGCTGCTTACGCCCTCGGTGCTGGAAGAGGCACCAGTCGACGAAGGAGAGGCGGCTGCTCCAGAAGACGAAGCTGCAGGAGAGGAAGTACCTGCGCTGAATGAAGCCACTGGGGTAGACGAGCTGCCTGCGGCAGATGAAGCCGCCGGGCTGGACGCGCTGCCTGGGGTAGATGAAGCCGCCGGGCTGGAGCCGGCTGGGGTGGACGACGCGCCAGCAGCTGGAGATGTGGAGGTAGCAGCACCGGAAGTCTGAGTCTCAGTAACCGGGCAGATGGTAGTAGAGACTGGAACGATGATCGTTGTGAGAACGGTAGAGTGAGCAGGGCAGTCCGTAACAGTAGCAGCGCAGCTGATGATGGTTGAAACAGAGGTTGAGTAAACAGTCGAAGTGAAGACACTTGGGGCTGGAGAACCTGAGCTTGGCACAGCGATGGTAGTGTTTCCACCAAAACCGCCCGTGGGGACAGAGGCAGACCAAGAAGCGGAGGTAAAGGCAGCTGGGGTAGACGAAACCGCAGTCGTCACCGCGGGAGTAGACACAGGAGTCGTCGTTGCCTTAGCAGAGGTGCTGACCGCAATGCTGGTGGGAGTGTAGATAGAGGTTGTGTGCTTGCCGCAGTCAAATCCGATGCTGTGAATACCAATGCTGCAAGTGGGCTTTGGTCCACCGCCGGGGTAGACGACGGTAACGTTCTTGGCTCCACCACATTGGGTGTTCTTGATGGTTGAACCACCCTTCAAGCAGTGAGAGGTTTGCTTGCAGATGTTTCCGCCAGGCATGCCATAGTGGAACTCAAGGTCACAGTCGAATTCAGTGGAAACCTGGAAATGGTCGACGGAGAAAGCAGAGACTTCACCGCTAGAACCGCAGCCAAAGCTGGGGCACTTCTCTGGTTCAGGGTGGGCGACAGCAGTGATGCATTTGTCCTAAAGACTGTTAGAGATGCATGATTTATCAAGATTTAGATCATATACCTGGAAGGTTCGGGGGGTCAACGCTCTGGTGCGGAAGCTACCGCCAGCACCGAAAGAGTTGGCACAAGTCCACCCATCGAAGTCAAGTCCACCGTAGTTTTTGAAAGGTCCAACAGAGAGGCTTCCCCAGTCAAAGCCACCGGCTTGTTGAGGTGTGCAAGTGTTGTCGCTATTAGAAGGGCAAGAGAAAGGAGGTGCATCGAGCCAACCCCCAGCAGATACAAGCTGAAGGCCTGACGCCAATGCCACGACGGCAGAAAGCGCTTGGGTCTTCATCCTGAAGACGGAGAACGGAAAATGAGGCGTTGATCAACGAAGGTTACTGAAGCGGTCAATCTGCTAGAGCGAATGTGGTGGTGAAATGGAAATATCAGACCAGAGCAAAGAAGCGAGTGACTCTGGCTCTTTAATGAGAGTGTTAACCAACAGAAAAAAAACGAGAGAAGACGAAAGACGTGGAGAGAAGGAAGAAGTGGGTGAAGAGAAAAGGCAAAAGGTGGTAGGCCCTCGGCAAGAGGATCTCAAGATGCATTATATCTCTCGAAGTCGTTGGGTCGGGATCCACGGCCAACGTGAGCCAGCCCACCGGCGGTGCCATGTGGACCAGTCAAAGCAGCGGCCCCTTGCAAGAGCTTGGAAGACCTTGCCAGAACTTGCAAGAAGAGGCAGGGTGAGAGCCAAATGTGGACTGCAAAGGCCTGCGGTGTGTAGGGGAAGTGGGCTCAGTAGAGTGGATTCTGGAGGGGCCGTACGGAGCAACAGGATCTCGCGGCCTCTTCCGCCCCGGCGTCCCCAGGATCCCTGTTGCTAAGTGTTTTGCGCGCGCCTTGAGCCATGGGACATGGGCGTTGTCCTCTTTGTGAGTTCGGTTGGTCGACTAAGCCTCCTCCTCCTCCTTGATGGGCGTCGTTGCGAGGGCCTGGTTGGAGGGCGCGAGGAAGAGCCAAGAAGAGGCTCGAGTAACGCTTCCCCTTGCGGTCCCCTGGGCTCTCCATGGGCACGGCTGGCACCTGAAACGTCAAGATGCACGCTCGTCGACTTTACTGTTCCTTCGCCACCAGAATCTAGAAAATCGACGGCGGCCAGACCAGCGCTCCACTCCCTAATGCAGGTACCGTCCGGGTTTACCGCTGCCAGAACCATCTACGAGATTGGTAGAAGGGACGCAGCGTCCTGACCGTGCTGAAGAGCGGAGAGCAGGCGGGGAGAAACTGCATCTGTACGCACAGCGGGCCATAGTGCTTGGTGAGTTGGCCCAGCTGATAAACCAGTCTGAATTTTTTGATTAATTATTGCCAAAATAGCTGTCTAAACCTGCTCCCCGGCGAACTGCTACTCCAGACTCCGTTACTCTCTCCGTCAGGATGTGATAACGGGACGAGTCTGGTGTCTGCGCCGTAGCCGGCGAGGTACCTGGCTGTATCGACGATCATATCTTTTTTGGGGAGACCCAGAGCCTCTTTGGGGTTCTCGTCGACTCTTCGAGCTCTCTTTTGGGACAACGATTCCCCGGCTGCCCATGCCACGGTCCAGGGGCGTGGTCTGTCCTATTCTTGGACCGAAGTTCCATGTCTACACAAGATGGCTACGGAGCTAAAGAGTCTAAGACCATCCCTCCTCAAGTCTCGAGGAGACTCACAGGGTCACAGTCACTCAGGGCTCAAGGACGCACAGCCTGAGCGCATCGCTCGGATTTTCGAGAATCTCGGAGAGTACTAGACACTACTGTACGTACCCGTCCAGTTTCCACGAGGACTGTACTCAAGCGTTGGTGCATCCGGCAGCCATAAGGAGAATTTCAAGTGACTACTGGACCGATGGACCGGTGAATACTCCGTAATGCTACGTATGCTGCGCCTAGGGGTGGAACAAGGGACTGAGATCTCTTCTGTGCCGTGCCTGGATCCTGGAAAGAGGGAGATCTTGTTGCCGGGACACGGAGACGGGTCGCTTAGAGCCCTTCTCGTAGTCGCTCAGTAGAGAGGCCATGGGTTGGGAGCTGTTTTTAGAAGCTTTCTCTCCCGCGGCTGCGGATGGCTAGCGAATAGCAGCATAGCACGGCCGGGCGTCTCGGTCAGCGTTGAACTCTCTGTCTTAGGTCTGCCAACCGTCGACGAGATCGAGTGTTTCAAGTTCCTGGCGAATCACAGCGCCTCCTTGATTCCTGTCCTTGCAGACACATCGCGACGCTCTGGAAGATCTAGAAAATCTTGAAAATCACGCGCGGAGGCCTGAGCGCCATTCTTGCATCTACCATCTCAGCCCATATGCAACTGCTGCATCGTGGAAAGTGGAAATTTGCTGCGCAGAGTCAGAGCGTCGGCGTGCCCAGATGCCCCTGAGAACTACTCCGTGCTGAGCGAGTTCTGCGAGAGCGGAAATTTCGTATACGGCTTTGGGCTTCCATGCTCAAGCCTCAAGCCGCTTGGCGTTACGTCGGTTAGCCATCTCAAAACCTCAGAAGCCAGGTGGAGACTTCCCCTGTGACGATTGGACGGTCTAGGCCGCGTTCTTCGGGCCTTCGGCTTTCCGGCAATGCCTCTGCTGATATGCACCGAGGAGGCTTAAGGGGCCTATTTTCTGGGATTTCAAGCCTCAAGAAGCCAATATGCCCAAAAGAGAACAATCCCGTCGTTGACTAGGAATAGTCAAATGAACAGGAAGCGCCTCAGAACATCAACCTTGGCCGGCGAGGAGGATATATCAATATCACAGCTATCACGGCTTCATAAGTTCCCTCTCTCAGGGGAAGCAGAGTGTGCCTACGTACCCCACCCGTGTCGCTTGCGATGGGGGCGACAATACCGGGTCATTCTAACTTCTCTGGCCACAACTAACAGCAGGCGACATGCAGATACGGGCGCGAGAACAGCACGGGGAAGTCTGTAGAACAGAGCGCGGGAAAAGTCTTTGCAGCCGCGCAGCACAGCTCAGCTGCTCAGGACCCAGGAATTACAACTAATCGGTATCACGACTTGAGGCTTGAGCCCGTCGCCGTCCCGACAATAGCTCGGACGAGACTAATCCAGTAAAGGTCTTACTGTTCTCTCGTACTATTTATTACCCCGCCAGCCACCTAATTATCACGACTTCTTCGCCAGACCAGTGCAGAAGGAATGCGGCGGTGATGAGCGAGAAAACCTACCACGAGATCAGGTGAGAATAGCAGCTGCCTAAACAAAGAACTCGGGTCCAACGTGCAAGATCTTGCCGATGGGAGAGGAGAGGGAGGAGAAACAAAGGGGCTCTTGGCGCATCACCAGCGAATACGGGCCACATGAAACGAAGCCTGGGAAGGGATCATGGTTGATGGATGTCGCGGCCCCTTCCGTGGAAAAGTCGAACGGCGTCTTCAAGACTACTTACTACTCAAGCCTGCCGCAAGCACTTCAAGCCCTCAAAGCCATCCACCCTCATGTGACTGCCGCGTAGACAAGGGCCAGCAACTACTGTATTCTTGAGATTTGAGGTTTGAGGTTTGGAGGCTTACTTTACAATGCCGAAAGTCAAAGCCCCGATGGTAATACATACGAGGCGGTGCAAACAAAACTCTTTCTTGCATGAACTTTACATTCTGGATTTTTTTGCAGCCATGCTTGTGAGGATCCCAAGTGAAACCAGTGGAATATGTGAAGGGTTCCTCGTCATGCAGAACACATCAGGCGGAGTTCGTATGATCGCGTACCCCCCAGCTTCAGAAGCCCAGGGCCGTCGATCACGGATAACAAGGCGATGCTTACACATCTTTACAACTCCTTTCAGATGAACCGCAACTGCCCGCACGTATGGACCATTTTCACATCACATCTCTCCATACACCGTGACTTCCAGCCAATCATCAGATCCTATCATCGCGCAGTAAAACAGAAGACTCCTGAATCCGGAATGCCCTCAACAGCCTACCGACTATTACAACTCAACGTGACGAGTTTTCCCTCTAAATTCCCGCAAAATTTTGTCTCCTTCCGGAATCCGGATCCTTCTCATCAAATACACCACAGGCAGATCATGATATCACGATTCCCACCTCCGCTGATCCGGATGTTCTCTTCCAGACACCGCAATGAAGGGGACTGCCGATCGCTACCCCAGATCTACAACGCAGCAATAGTCCCGTCCCTACGTACAGAAGGTTTTCGTCCCTACGACTAATTATTACCCTTAAGTACCCCGACCGTTTTGTCTCTCTCTTCATAGTTCATACCAGTCAACGGTTTCAGGGCATCGGCAGTTGATCCCGAAGAGCTTCATGAGTCGTGGTTGAGCCGGCGCGAGAATTTAGCATACTGCGAGACCCGGAAATTGGGATTCGGGGATTGAGGCTCAATAGTTTGTCTCTCTTTACTTTCTCAATTCCTTTTTTTTTCTCTCCGAGATGAGAAATTGAATAGCACCGCTATGAGAAGAGGTTGATTTGTGAGCGAGGGATTGATTCATTGAAGCACGGCAGATGGGTTGGTACTGTGACTGGAATATCTGTTGGTGGGGATGTGAAGCTATCGCGGAAGTCGGGCAGCGAGGGACGACGATATGGATTCCTCTGAATCTGCAACCAGACTGCGAAATATCTAGGAAGATATTGATTGTGAGGGGTTTTATTTCGTCGAAGGAAGGGAAGTATTACTGTATCTCTCTCCTCTCATCTTCTCAGACCTCTCGAAAGATAGAGCGTTCACTCTTTACTCATTATAGCTTACTTAAGGTACTTCTATACTATGACCGGCCTCGAAGAAGACACTCTCGTGCCATTCACGCTCCCCGCCGACGCTCCCTCGATCCTTCGACCCTCTCCCTCCCTCTGCACGAAGCAGAGCAAAGCAGAATTCATCAGCAAACCCACCCCAGCTTGCTCCTCTCCGCTTCTCCTCTCCTCTCCCACCTCCCCAACCACATCTCAAGATCATACCTATCCATTCAGAACCCCGCACCTCTCCTCGTCTATATATATCATACTCGTCTCTCCCAGTGCAGCAGACACATATGTCCGTCTCCGAAAGCTGGACGGATGGCGGGGGGTCGAGATGTATATTTCGATGATGGATAAAGAAGGGATCTTGAAGCTGGAAGGTTGAGGTGTAGGAGTTAAGGAGGTTTGGATGAGCGGGGGGTGTATAAGGCGTGGTTCTCTGGGTGCTGGACGCGCTGGTTAGGTGCGGATCAGAGGTCGAAGGAGGGGGAGCTGGCCATATGCTTGCTTGCTTCACACCTTTCAGGTCACGTTATTTACGAGAGTATCTCAGAAGTAGAATAAAAGTAGAAAGAATCCCCATGCAACTTCACTGAAATTATCTCAATAAAACACACATCTCGTGAAGTCTATTCTCTTAAGTGAAAAGAGATAGGCGGGGGAGTATTTTACAAAAAAGGTCTTGTTGCATATCGTACACATGTTGGCATGGAGATATCAATCAATCAATCAATCAATCAGTTCAGTCAGAAATCAATGAGAAAAGAAGGTACTACCTACCTACCTACCTATTCAACCTTTCTCTCTTTTTAAATAACAATAATAAAAACAATCTCTAAGAGACGGAAGGAAGGAAGACTTGACGAATCTTGGGGTAAGGAAGAATGCGAGTAGGTAGGTAAGGTATGTAGCTATGAGCATTATGGACTTGGTGGTAATCTGTAATATGAATTTGAATATGAAGTAATGATGCAAAAGAGGTCTGATGTGGAAGAAGTTGGGGGATGTGCGTTTTTGTTTGATTCATATCCCCCGCCCCCCTCCCCCCTCCCCCAAAAACTCCTTTTTTCCAACATCAACCCAACGGTGTGGTATAGGATTCAAAAGTAACATGATAGATAATCGGCAAAATATCAAAAGCAGTATTCTGCATTCCATAAAACAACCTATCCACCTCATCCACCTCCTCAATACAAACAATAACCTCCTCATTTCCACAACCCCAATTTAAATCATCTCACACCACCCTTTCATACCCAAGAATACTATGACCTTAACGTAGAGCAAAGAAAAAAAGAGTAATGTTAGGTAGTTTTATAGATTTGTATGTATTTTATTGAGGAATGGTGTTGTTTCATATGGGGGTGAGTGAGTGGATGAGAGTGGTTCCGGGTGTTTTTGTGGGGGGGGGGGGGGATAACGGGAGATGAAATAGATACATATAAAGGATTGGTATAGAATGATGGGACTATCATCTTATCGTATTTCATTAAAAAAAGAAAAGAACTCATATATGAGAGGAAGAACCTAGAACTTGGTAGCAAGACTAATACTATTTACTAAGGGCTATAGCTAAATCTCCTCTAGACTTAGCTAAACGTCCGCCCTATTCCTAATTAGGAAAGTTGCTAAATAATTCCGAGTGTACATCTATTGTACTTACGCTACAGTAGTAGTTTGTATAGTAGCGTAAGTAGACACTATGTAAACAATTAATTTATCTATAACCCTGTAACGCCTACAAAAATAAAGCTATTCCTAACTATCGTCTAACTTAAAGTCTGTATCCTAGGTATATACCTTAACGCCGCTAATAACCTCTCTCTCTAACGCCGTAACACTACTCCCTATTACCGCTGTAGCCGCCTTAGTAGAGTCTACTATAGAGTTAGTCTAATATACAGATAATATACCTTATATATACATTCTCTCCTTCTAAGTACCTAGCTTATACAGATCTATATAGCCTGTATTAAGCCGGGCTATCCTACTAGTAGCTAATACAGGCGTAGGACGCACTATATTAATCTGCCCTACTAATACGTTAGGCTAATTTAGGGCTACTAGCGCTAGATAATTTAGGGCCGGCGGCACTAAGCTTAACAGTAGCTTAAAGGTAGAAGGATCCTAACGCGTATTAGATAGTACTATACGTATAGCGCTACCTAAAGCCCTCCTTAGGCGGCCCTTTTCTCTAATTAGAACAGGATTAAGAACTAGTAGTAGTAGAGCGATAGCTTACTAAGGAAAGATACTTAATTCTAGCCTATTATAGTACTAGTAAGGATGTATATCTTCTAGTAGGTTTACTCTACTATACCGCTTTCTTTCTTATATCTTGTAGTAACAAGAAAGGCTAAGACAGTACTAAATAGAGTAACTATAGGCAGGTAAGTTAAGGGGCGGGCTACTTGTAAGTAGTCGTTTAAGCTCTAACAAGACCTTTTGTAACGCGTAGTTATAGACGAATTTCTTAATAGTAGTAAAAAGAAGGATATTTGTACTATGTTTTAGGCGTAATTTCTACTACGCCGTAACTATTATAATGTTTCTATATTACCTCTCCTAGAATAGCTTTAATTTGTTAAACACTTCCCTAAGATCCTTATAGCTATAGGTTAGGTAGGCCTTTATAGTAGTATAGTAACCCTTTATTAGGCTAGTAATAGTAACTCTAAAGTTGTAGTACTAATTAACCTAATAGGCTACTAAGTTCTCTTTTTATATAAGCTATGTCGCCTTAATATAGCGTATAGCCTTAGTAAGGTATTTAGACCTTATTTCTACTAGTAATTTGTTATAGCTATCCTTTATAGTACTAGCTAGTAAAGAATTCTATAAATTTAAGAATGTGTTAAAGGTTAGGTATTACTTAACTCTACTATTAGTATACTTAATTAGCCTTAGAAAGAACTCCTTAGTTTTAGCTAATACGTTTATATTAACGTACTACTAGTAAAGGAGGTAATAGGTTTTAGGGAATCGTAATCTAAGGCATTAGATCAAAGCTAGTTCCTTATTAGTTACTATACAAGTTAGCTTGTAGATTATGTTGTTAACTATAACCTAGTAAAGTTAATTAATAGCCTAGTTATAATCCGGCTCCTTTTCTATAGATAAAAACGCTAGTCCTACTTACACTACTATGTTGTTACTTGTTATAGTATAGATATTTAGTAATAGTATATTAAATCTGTTAGTTTTGTATGTATAATTAAGTAGTAGAACATTAGGATTCTACTTCTATAGTACTAGAGAGGTTAGATAGATAAAAAACAGAGCCTATAACAGGCTAGATTTAGGGTAGTATTAAGCGTTATATCTGTTGTTTTAAAGCTCTTATAGTAACAGGTAGGTTAGTAGAGTAATTAAGTAATAAAGGGGTAATCCTACCTCTAAAAGCTACTATATTAAAGTCTTTTTACCTAGTACCTTAATCCTCTCTTTCTGTATAATATTAGAGACGTCTTTAGTAGAGAGTAACGCTCCTAAATCCTCTTGTTTAACGGCAGTAAGGATCTAAGAGGCAGATAGCCTAGATCTAGCTAGACTACCTACTAAGGCATAGGTACTAGTACTTAGAGAAGTAATTTAGTAGGTAGGATAGGTAGTAGGATCTACTAATCTTTTATAATTATATATAGCCTTAAGTACTATAAGACTCTAGTTCCCTAATATCTAATTAAGGCGTAGCTTAATAGCTATCTTACAGTCGTACTTCTTTAAGCTAGTAGAGTAACGCTATTTAGATAAGTAGGTATTAGGGTTTTTACCCTTAGGATTATACTTACTAGCGCGATTATAGCTAAACTTTAATCTACCTCCCTTATTATTACGCTAAAGGAAGGCGTACCTATTAGCCTTTACGTGTACCTAGATAGTAGTATACGTAACGTCTTTATTAGTATAAATAGCTTTTAGGAGAGTAAGGCTATAGTGTTAGTACGACATAGTGATGTAGGAGGTAGGAAGTAGGTAGTAGTAGTAAGTAGTAGGTAGTAGTGTTATAAATAGCTTTAATTTTTCGTGTATCGCGAATTATTTACTATTACTTAGGGGACTTACGTTACTATACAAATTACTATAGTAACGTAGGTACAATAGGTGTACGGAGTAAATCTCTCGCTTATTCCTGATTAGGAATAAGGCAGACGTTTAGCTAAGTCTAGCGGAGATTTAGCTATGGCCTTACCAAGATATCAACCTCCGCTTCACTTCTCATTCCACGAAGTTTTAGACCCATCAGTTAAGACCTCTCATCGAACGATTTATATTTCCAATTTATCTTCCTATCTCCCTATTATGTAGTTCCTATATATCTCAAAAAAAGCCCTCTCATCTAGTGCCTAACAAGGTTTCTAAAACCCCCATTGCAGCAACCACAAGCGCATCCACTCCATCCCAACCATCTCCAACTTCGCCGCCCCTTTACTATCACTTACCAGATTCCGGACTTCATAATTCGGCTTCATATCTTCCTGTGTATTCTTCGCACTCATACCTCTAAAGAAATCGAGCAGCTTGACAGCCGGGTTGCGATCTATGGCGAAGTTCTCCGTGGCGCTCTTTTCTAATTCGAGGACCCAGTCCTGCAGCGGGAGGGTGCGGGGGATCTTGAGGGGCTGTTGGATGGAGGGGAGGAGGGAGGACCAGGCCGTGAAGTTGCGGTTTACGAGGTTGTAGACGTGTGTCTGCGAAGACGCAGGTTTATGGAGGAGCGTATCTGTCAATTCGATCATGATGCTGGCGAGTCGGTCGACGGGAATCCAATCAATAGTTTCCATACTCCCCAGGGTGGAAGGGAGGACTTGCAGATGTTTGGAACTGGCGAGGATGCTGGGGAACCATTCATGCTTGTTCCAAGAACCGCTCTTGGACAGCGGGCCGGCTATCTGTCCAGTTCGGAAGATAGCCGTGGTGATTCCCGTCGCGTTGGTAAACTTCTCAACGAGAAGTTCACTGACATACTTCGATTCGCCGTATCCTAGATCCTCTGGTGCATCGAAATCCCGAATGATACTTTCAGGAACTGCAGATTTGGGATTCTTGGTTAGCCAGCCAAGGGCGGTTGATATGCTAGAGACGAAGATGAAGGGGGCGTGGTTCTTGGAAGAGAAGCTGAAGTCGAGGAAGTTGCGGACGCCACGGATCTGCGGCTCAAATGATTCGATCGTGAGATTGAAATCTACTTTCCACGCTGAGTGGATTATGACCGTGGCTTCATCCAGGAGGCGAGCGTATGTTTCTGCCCCGAGTCCGAAATCTGGCTGAGAGAAGTCTGCATGCAGAAACTCGACGCGACCATCTTCCCACGAGGCGTTCAGCCCTCGGGACAGACTCAGTTTCTTCTGTCGCTGCTGGCTATCGGCTGATCGGTTTAAGCAGAAGATCTTTGCAACTTGGGACTTTGGAAGGCTTTCTAGAGCTGCGAGTAGATAGCTGCCCAGAGATCCGGTTGTTCCTGTGAGAATGACACTCCAGGGCTTTGTGTGTGCAGCGCTCCCGTTCACCGAGCCGTTTGATGCTGGCTTGGAAGGTATATCTTTCGAGTACTTCAGCAGGATTTCTTCCATCCTTCTCTGTCGTTGAGAGCTCGTTGACGTTGGATCTTCCGCGTGAACCCCGTTTCGTTTCTCGACGAGAGCAATAAGAGCTTCGGCCATCTGGCCGATAGATGGTGCAGAGTATACTAATCGCGAGTCGATAGAACCCAAGTTCAAATCGGCTCCACAGGATGCCAGAGCGGCTCTTAACCTTTGTACAATGACTGTAACGCACAAAGAGTCCATACCCCTCTCAAACACATTATCCGAATCCTTCAAATCGGACAAATTCTTGATATCTTTCGTTTCCAGCGCTTGCAAGTACACTTCTCTTGTGAACGTCTTGATGGCACTTGCAGAGAGTGGGGTAACCAAGGTGAGGCCTTCAGTCAACAAGTCTGTTTCTTGGGAAGAGAACAGCTGGTCGAGCTCCTTTGAATAAGCTTTCACATTATTCTGTCTTTGCACTACTCCCTTCCCTGCTCTGATGAAGGGCTTTTCTCGTGTTGTAAACAAAATCAAGGATTTCGGTATTTTTGCAAATGCAGGAGCAACTTTGTTAGCTTCCTGCACATGAGTCCAAATCTCATTTAAAGCTTCTCGTTTCTCCTCGGGCGTAGTTGGTATGTAGCTATCTTCCATTTCAACGAGTACAGAAGGGCTGAATCGGTATTCGCCAACGACGAGAGCTGCTCGAATCTTAGGATGAGATGCGATTATATTCTCCAAGGGAATTGGATTGATCTTCTCTCCATTTGAGAGGACGATAATGTCATCAGCTCTTCCGAGGTACCGCCACCATCCAGGGGCAGATTGAGAATAGAGATCTCCGGTGCGGAACTCTTGCAGGTGTGGAAAAGTTTCAAAAATCCCGTGGTACTTGTTGGTCTTGCTATCGTTGACTATAACAAGCTCGAATACGCCATCAGATACCCCTTCAAAATTGTATCCGATGCCTGTGTAGAAGCGTATCGAGTCCCAATGCTCGCTGCCACCAGAAACGGAAAAGAAAATACCGTTTTCGGTGGTACCAAGAATGCTAAAGAGATGCGGTAGTGCTGGTGCAAGGACTTTGCCAATCTATAAAGACTCATCAGTTTCGTTCACGTCAAGTGGTTCGAGAAGCTTACGTTTGGTGGGAGAGGACCACCTCCATAGCCAACGTGCTTCAGCTTTGCAAGCGTCTGTATTCCTGCCGGATCTTTTGAGATTTCGCCCAGGATAGACGGAGGTGTAAGCAAGCCCGTAATTATATCGCTGCTCAAGAGCTTGACAATGTAGCCCCCTGATAGGGGGACATCTGGGTGTCCCAGAACGATAGTCGTCTCGTGGAAGATGGGATAGAAACTTAGAATAAGGCCAGCCGCCTATGTCGCCTTGTTAAAGCCAGATCAATGTACGCAATGCCTGGATACTTACATGGAAGCATGGAAGTAATGAAAGCATATTCTCATGTCTGAGGGATGACTCTTCCAACGAAGGCCCTTGGTCTGTAGGAAGCTCATTTCCAGCATCTGATTGCATAAACCACTTCATATTCCAAGAGATGGGCTTCGGGTTTCCTAGCGTGAAAGTCAGTAACTATCTGCAGACGCTCTATGAGAACATACCGGAAGTTCCTGAAGTATGGAGTGTGAGGAACCTTTCATCCGCGACCTCCTCGAAAGTCTTTTCAAATGCGTAATGAGGGACCACATCTTCGGCTAGCACTTCATCAAGAGTAGGGGCTTGAATCTTCCGAACATTTTCTGAAGCAGTGAAAAGTGCTTGCAGTCCCGTGGCCAAGGAGGAACATGACACAAGAGCTTTGCAATTGGTCCTCTGAAATAGAGATAGCTGAGCATCAACTGTGTTCCGCAAGGAACAGATCAGAATCTACGGATCCAATCAGCGCGAGCACGCTACGGAGAAAGAAGTTCGAAGACGAACCTTCCGACCTGTCTTCATGGTTGCCAGTATGAAGATGATATATCTCAGGTCGTTGGGTCCCAAGTACACAAAATGATCCTCCTCCTTACCCAAATCCTGGGATAGCTTCTCGTCGATCCACCACGCCACACGGTTGACCGCATTTGCAAGACGGGAGTAGCTAATTGTGTGGAAGCCATCCGCAGGATCGCTGGATCGAGGATACAGGGCATATGGCCTTTCATATCCAGATGCTGCTCTTGCATCAACTATATGCGGTGGCAATCTCCGCCCAAAAGTCGTAACATCAGGAGAGGGGGGCATGATTCAACTGGAAGGCTGACAAGTTGGAAATACAGAATTTGTGTTGGTGGGGAGTAATGAGAAAGAAGGCAACTGAGCTCGAGTCGAGGCAACTGCTGCAACTCCAGTAACAACTTACCTGCCATGATCCGACGGGAAAGGGGATTTATATTGTGGCTTCATGTTACCACTTTACAAGTTTACCCTTGTAATAACCGCGGAATCTCGGGCGCATTCCAATGTCGAAAGCCAGAAATCAGAGTTAAGGCCAGTAACAACGACAAGAAGATGCAGATCCTGCCCGGATTACTGTCGGCCCATGGGGTAGTAGTGGGGGAGGATTGTACTACTGTACTGTGGGGTTGCAGATCGTGGATAAGAACATGCACCCAAGTTACCCAAGGCCTAGCCTTAAAGCCGTTTTTCCAGAAGACAGCGAATTAAAGAGCTCAACCAAATGCCGCATGCGAGTCGATCAAACTATCCTGGTGTCATTTACCGCTGCCGGAACTCACGGCACGTTTATTCAAGCACATATTCGACCGGTATGTATTGTCTCGGAGCATCATTGCCAGCACACTTGATGCTTGAAATCATACTGCTCCAACCGCTGTTTGTGGGGTAGGACTTGGATTTGAAATGCATTAACGACGCAATGTTCAACATACGTTCTCTGAGAAGCCTGGGTAAGAACAAGAACAAGTATACGTTCCCCTTATCCGCGTTGACAAAGGAAGGGCAGCTATGGTGGTCATAACTGAAGACATCTTCATATCTTTGCCTACCCCGCAGTGGGGTACGTACTTGATCAGCTGACTCTTTACCTTAGTGGCACTACCTACCTAAAAACATCCAAACATGCATGATATGGATGACGAAGATGTTCAAGACTGATGCAAAACGGGAATAAAAGACGGATGCAAAATGGGAGACATACCCGGAAGAATCAATAGGTTGACTTCCCGGGTGGCCATGTGATGCATAACCATGTATACCGCACCACATATAACCTTCCCTGTCTCTCAATACTACCACGCCATCACGGGCCATGGCACCAATTGTTGCGGCACACCGAGGAGCATTTGCTCCTAAATGGACAACAGTCCTCGAGTGAGTGTTGCTGGTATGCCCTCGCCAGGAGGTGGTACCCACGCAGACAAACCCAGCTCGAGCTCCCCGCTCTAAACGAGTCTCTCCTCCCCGAGAAAACATCTGCAAGGGATACAATGGCCATCCGCAAGTAATCTTCCTCGCGCGAAGGTGTCTTGTGTAGCAACAGCCGTGCCCTTATCTGGGTTACTCAAAGAAACAGCTTCGACAGAAACCCAAGACAGAACACCAATATTACAAAACAACCGAGCTAGTGAACGCCGGAGAATAGCTGCTATTGATAAAATTCACATATGCAGGAGCAAATAAACCTGGCTTCTTCAAAAACCATGTTCTCATACGGGCACTTGCCCCGCAAAAGCTTGATCGCGAATGATTAAATATAAAGTAGGGAAGCTGCGCCAACCAGGACCGTGCTTAAGAAAGCTTATGAGTGTAAGCCGTGTAGATTCTAGATGGCAATCATGAGGCCATTGAAGGAAAATGGGTTTGGGAGTTTGAAGCATGAAGATCCCGATTGAATTGCAAATGCAAATGCAGTAGCAGCAACAGAAACAATTAACTAAAGCACGGAAAGCCATCCCTTCGAACACTTGTAGGGTTGTTTTCGCACGTTCTTTTTTCCTTCTTCATTTTTCGATCTTGCAATACAGAAACGAAAGATATAAGCTAGGATGGCGATAGAAGTGCTTTCTCCATGCCTTTCTTTCCACAGGCTGACTTGACTTTTCGCGATCTCCAGATGTTCCAGCTTATCCATCCCTAAAGCAAGTAAGAGATGATAGGTATCTGACCAGTCATTGCCCCCCATTATTTAACGCGCGCGCCCCCCGATAAAACCCCCCTCTGTTGGTCATCATAATAAGCCTGAAGAGAAATCCGTAAAATCGTCACACAAAACCGCAAACACCAAAATTTCAAATCATGAGTTCTCAGGCAACCAGGATAGAGTTATCAGATCTGAGATCTCGATCCTTTGTGGTCAAAAAATCCAAATGGAAGTTTCACAGCTCCATGAAAGAAGCAAAAGACAGCCAGCCAGCCAGCTCATGTTGCAGGCTCCCGCGCGTAAACCCCGAGTATGATTCTTTTGACCAATTATTACGAACCATCAATTTCGGTGCGCGGCTACGTAAGGTACCTATGGTACAATAAGCCCATCCATCCATCCATGTAAGTAAGCATCCGTTCTCGGACACCGAGCACAGGGGGAACACTTAGAATAGAATAAGTCAGCTTTCTTTCCTTCAGCCTGCGCACGGATTGTTGTTGCTTTTTTCCACGTTCTTTCTTTCTTGGCCAAGTTCCTTGGAGCTTACGAGGTTGGAGGTGGAACGAGGCAACGAGGCAACAGAGGGGCTGGTGACTAGGATAAGGAGTTGTCCAATCATGAGAATTCCTTGCATGGGTAGCTCATGCATATCGATTCGTTCTTACCGAGGAGCGAACTTGAATACCTTGTTGTATACCTAGGTAGGTAGGATCATCGGGGTTACGCTACATTCCTGTATTGACGACGAGAAAGAGGAATGTGCTTATTGCTTAACCAATACATATTTATGTACGTCATACAACATATCATCTCCTCCTGCGTTCCTTTGTGTGACGATTTTCTGTGTCAGTGTTTAGTGCAGGGGCGTTGAAAGAAAGACCAAGAGATCTTTGCCAGGTTCTCTTCGTTCACAATTCGCCATATTATCATTCCGACATGTGAAATTGATAAGAGGGCTGTGACTGAGCCTCCTTAGACTCATCTAATGACTCCTCGGACTTTTTTCAGAGAAAGGAGCCTCGGCTGAGGCGAAAGGAAGCGGCACAGGGGATAGATGTCAAGGTGTGATCGTGTGTCAATTATAGTAATGACGCAGGGGCTGGGACTACAAGCCCCCTGGGATCAAGGCAGATAATGTGTCAACGTCGTCTCGAAGGACTTCCCTTTCGAGCCGGAGGCACAAAGACGAGAAACCCCTGTACAGAGAGAGAAGGGGAAAAGGCAGAGGAGGGGCAGAGAGATGGACGTCTCTTGAAACGTAGGAGTGAGTAGAAAATAAAGCTGAAATCCCACATTTTGTTCCCAGCTCCATTAGGTCCCATGGAAGGCTTTCCACCGTTCCAAAAACCGGAAGTGTCCTTTCCCTGAGCACAGCCGTTTGAAGAAACTATTCTGGTCAAATTAGCAACAGTAAGCAGGACAATTCGTAGAGCAATGTAGCAATGTAGGAGTGAAGCTCGCAAGCAGCTCCAGGAATATCTGTATATATCCCAGGCTGCTTGTTTCACCCTCCTAGAGCACAGCGAGCTCCCCATCGTCATATATATAATACGATCGATGGTTCTCAATGCATGAGCCTTACTTCCGCATTTTGATATCAGTTCCTGGCAACTGAACATAGATATCGATAATTAGTACTTCAGCGTGTCGGACGCACAGTCATTAGTAAAGCTTCTTAAGCAGCATACCTTAGTTCGCGTCATTCCCCTCGGGCGCTTCCAATTGAGCGAAGCGCAGGCTTCATCTTCACCTTCACCAAATCCAAGACTGGTAAGTAAGTTTGACAGAGAACTTACGTATGAAGTCCGACTTCGATCTTCATTGACATGAATGAGGAGTGATGGCATTCCTTATCCACCGCAGCTCGTAGACAAGCGGGTAGTTAAGGATTGTCACACCGTAGAAAATCGATCCCAGATATACGCTCAACCCTTAATTTGAAGAGGAGTCTGTAAATGCATACATGATATCCGCAAATTTTTGATAAGGTCTCTGCGGCCCGGACACTGAGGCGACATATATAAGCAACAGCCGTGATCTCTATATACATCATATGACGACCACCGTTGAGAAATTGGCAGCTTCAACATCGCATTACGCCCCCCAGTGTGATCTTTTCATCCTACGCGCCCTTTCGCCACTAAGCCTGACACTTGACATCTGGCTATTGAGCTTCATCTTCGGCTTTAGGCTCGAATCACTTCTATGTGGAAGGAGCCGGGACTCGAGATTGAAAGTGGAGGGCATAGATGAATCGAAGTGGGGAGCCTTTGGGGGATGTTGATGGTGCACCGAGTAGTGGCGCATAGAAGTTTTTCACGTATGCATAAGTGTACTACTGTACATTATACCCCGTACAAAAACCTACAGAAACGAAAAAGGTTAGGTACGGTTGCTTTCCATATGATCCAAGTGTCCATGGCACCAGGGACATATACACTCACTGCCATCAATATCCAATTTGCCTGATTATCCGAGTCACCCATCTAGCATTCATAATGACCGAGAACATAGCTCATTCCCTGGAATCCAAAGGTGGCTCTATTGGAGATGTCGAAAATCGACGCGTCTGCCCATCGTAGTAAATCCACGACCCAGCACTAGCGAGGCGGCAAGCAAGCCAGAGAATACGCTCCTTACGTTCATCTGTCATCGAGGCGACTTCAAGATACTTCTCCTCATCATCAATCTTCTCGTTTGAGAACCATGACTCTGGATAATATCCGTCTGCCCACAGCAAACCTCGCAGAGCGAAGTCCTCTGGAAGTGGACGAACATCATCCTTTACAGGTAAGGGAAACTTAGTATCCTCAATACGGTGAAGTGTCGGATAAGTAGCAAGTAACGTATTTAGCATATCCGTCAAGAGCTGCCAGGGGAAGTTGGTTTCCAAATAGCGCACTGCCCGAGGATGGCGGGACATGAAATTCATGAAAACGAGCGTAACGTGAATAAAGGATAAGACATTCGGATCCCCTATTCTCCTAAGGATAATCTCCAAGGTCCCGTTAGTAAAACTCTCGGCATCTAGAAACGACTTCATTATCGGATCTCGGTCCGTTACTTCCGCCATTTCGATGTCAGATTCGCCAGTAGATCTATCTGCTATACTCTTCATCAATATGTTCTCCTCAGAGGCAAACCCGAGCATTGACACGATGTTAGAAATAGCGATGTAGTAACCCTGTTCCAGGAACTTGCGGGTGACCCTTCCAATGTGACTGTCGAGTAGATCAAGAAATTCTTTCACGATAGATCTAAATCTTTCGAGATTTCGATTCGTGAAGAGAATACCATGAGCTTTAACGAATGCTCTGTCTAGCGGAGGCAACCGATATCCTTGTACGTTATCCGAGTTTAGGACCGGGTCGAAGAGCGTCAAGATCGATTCCCGAGCTGATGTGAAAGGGACTACAACGCAGAGCGACTTGGAGTAGTAGAAGAGCTGTTGGAGGGCGTTGGGTCTTGCGAGAATAGCCAGATGATGATAGAGCCGGCCCGTCGTCGGTGCCTTGTCAGAGGCCTTTGAGTACCAGTGCCGCGCGACTCCCGTCCAGACCTCTCGATCCCGCACATCGTCGTCCTCAATTGCCATGCGATAGCGACCGAGGTCGCCAAGGCATTCAATCCAAGTATCTTCGAACGCAGGCACTGTCTCGTACAACAGAGCCATCATCGAGTATGCTAGATAAATGAATGCAAGCATGTGGTCTAACGAAGCCGGTAGACGATGTCTGAGCAATTCGAGGAAAGAATGAATGCCATGCCGCCACATTCGCGCAGGCATAGCATATTTCGATGCTAATCTACGTAAAGCCGGGCTTGCAGAAGGATGTTGAGAGGCGAGGAAGAAATCATGGTGTTCATGTAGCAGGGTTCGGTGGAGCGCGATGAGGGCTTGCCATTGCTCATTGTTCAGTTTGGTCTGTGCCGTTTGTGTCTTGGGATCAGCTTGTGCTAGAGCAGCCTGCTTGTTGTCGACTTCGATACACTTGGCCTCGACCATTACTAGCCCCGCGTAGATCCCCTTGACTTCAGCTACGAGTTGCTCTTGAGAAATTGATCGCGTTTCAGGTTGCAGCATAAGTTCATAGCCCTTCGGAGATGCTGGAGACAGAACTGTCACTGGCTTGCTGCCTAAGATTTGAAGGGTACCGGGTTTGTTGGTAACTGGGCCAGGACCTGGCATACTCGCTGGCCGTGGCATGTTTGTTGGTTTTCGGGCTTTTGGAATCGGGGCTGGGGCTCTTGATTTTGATGCGATATTGGAAGGAGAAGTGAACGACCTGGTCGGACGAGAATCCATCTCTGGAGTCCAAAGCTGCCTATTTTGGGCAGGCGGCCTCGAAAGATGAGGCTCTATAACTTGATGCGCTCTAGAACGAGGAGGGGATTCTGATTGTCGGCGAGGGGACCCAGAACCTGCTGAAACCCCATCGCCGACCGCTGCCCTCTTGCGCGGCTGGTCGCTTTGACCGTCGCCTGGGGCATCCTGCATAATTGTATCCTGCATCGCCGCATCCTCTCTTTCTCCGGGGGTAGAGACGTGTAGTAAGCCCTGTGACAAGGACGCAGAATGAGAAGGGCCGGGTGAAGCGAGCGGTCTCTTTGTCTGCACACTCGCGGATTCTGGTTGAGGGCTCGTCGTGTCATTATATGGAGGTTTCCTCAATTGAGAGGTATCCCTGGATCTGCCATATCTGGTGGTTAGTGATCATAATCAAGTCAAACAAAGGCAGGTGGGTCAAGACAGACCAGCCGCAGCCTTGCCCTTGCCCTTGCCCTTCCTTTGTCCCTATGAAATGGCAAGGCTCGGGGAGGGGGATGCGGGGGGTTCAGGTGAGCATGAGTGAAGGGGAGAAGGGGAAAAAAATGTCTGCTGACCCTTTCTGGAGTGAGGCGGCCTCGTACTCTTTTCGGGATATCCGCTTCTCCTCCTCCGTCCTCTCGCCCTGGAGTATCTTTTCTGGGTGGGCCGTAAGACCATGGTTGTAGAGCGCGTCGGCTGATTGCCAGGTCCTCCACTCCGAGCAGTAGACACAAGCATATGTTTGCGCGGTCTTGCTGTGATTGCGGCGCTGGAGCTGCACCCATCGATCGGTCAGGTCTCCGGGTGGGTTTCGTTGCATTGCTGGTGGGATCGCGGAGAGCGAGAAACGTATTTTTCAGTGAAGAACGTATTGGGCATGAAGGACATATGTATCAGGAAGCGGCAGCGAGCGTGGAGGATCATCGAAGAGCATAAACTGCCTGTAAGAATTGCAAGGAGCGGGAGATATATCTTTATACTGGGCGAACTCTTCTAGACCTATACGGGCCACCGAGACCGAGGGGTCCTCAAATACCTAAGGATGTCGAACCACGCTGGTTCGCACATTTGTGCCTGAGGCTCCAGCCAACTCTCTGACAGCCTCGAGCCTTTCTGACTTTCCTATCCTCCATACCTCATGGTAGGTAGATTTAGCACCTACGACAATCTTTGCTTTTGGCTTTCGTCGACTCTCAGGTGGCGCTTCTACGCTCAGATGGATGAAGTCTGCTCTGCTGTGCACTGCGATTTGTGTCCTCTTCTGCCTTTGTTACGAGACCAGACAGCGGTCCAACGATCGTTCTGTCTGATAAGCCTACCTATGCATAGCGGTGTGTGATTTGGGACCTGACTCTGGATCCTCAATAACCATGCGATTACCCTTCTTACCAGACGTCTTTCTTCTAGGCAGCTGTGGCCGAGCAATCGAAAGTTTATGGTCGAACTCGGCCAAGCATTATTATTACATTAGCATGGCCTTCTTCGCTGCCAGGGATATCGTCAGAGTTGATGATACTACCATTGGTATAACTTTGCTCTATCGCCTGTCTCGTATGTCAAGCATAGGTACGCAATCATCTCTTCAACATATCTTCTGTCACCCGCTCTGGCAGTGCCTTCGGATACACCCCCCTCCCAAGATTGTAATCATGAGCAATCGGCCTTTGACTCCAAGAGCCCGATTGGGACGCAAACCTTCATTCCCCAGGCTAGCAGCTGTACTCAGCTTAGGTCAAAGGCTCCGTTTACCATGTCAAACTGCATTTTCACGTTATCTCCACCTGTGGCACTTCTTCTAGGGCTATTATTATTCATTTATCATACTCTGAGTGTGGTTTGCGGCACGGCGCCGTGGATTCCGTAGCCTAGTTGCTTGCAAAAGCCGTATCTAGGGAGCCTGCAGTATTTTGCCATCGAGCATTGTGCTGATGCGGCTATCCGCAGCCTTTTCCTGCATTCTCACGAGGCTGTTTGATACGGGGTTTCGGTAGTGAAGCTTCTTCGCCTTGCCACCTCTGGAAGTCTCTGGGTTTATTGAGTCATCTGGCGGCTGAGGCACTAGAAGGAGCGAATCAATTGCAGAATGGCGGGACATCTTTCAGCCCTATACGGAGGTATGGGATTCATCGTTGCTTAGGTATGGATCAGCCTGGACGACACCGGACAGAGTCATCTCAGGCCACCAGTCACTTCCGGGTTCCTTTTTCTGCCTAGGATAGGAGAATACTATTGCCACGCTCTCGCCTTCTATCATATCATTAATTTTCTGATTACTATTCCTTGAAAAAGGGAAGAAAATCTGGCGATTTCTGCGTCTTGGTGTGGCGATTCTATCAGGTGACACTGGTCTTCGCTTGTTGCAGACTGTGGCTGAGTGCACCTCTGAGCTGGGTAGGTGTTGCCGATTCGTCGGTTTGGCAAGAGGCAAAAATATATACAGGTTTTCCCCTCTCATGTAAAGGGGGTGGGTTTTTCATTACCTGAAATTTTCAGCTGGACATCTTCTAGAATGTCCATATGTCGAGACACAGCGCAGCCACCTTACTATAGTATAACTCTATATCTTCAGGGGTTGCCATGCTAGTGGTCAATAGGTACGCGGTCTGTACACTCCGCGTTTTCTATATTCAGACGCATCCTTACACGCCCTACATGCTAATTCTCAATGAGATTGGGGGTAGACATGCTGCGCAGGGACGTCTGGACTGCTCTATGTCTTGGATCCTTCGTCCAAGTCGTCCCTAGGAGCGCAAGTTTTGTCGGACCAGGGTTGTCAGAAAGTCCCATAGTGGCCTGTATTTCAGCAACTATCTTTTCTCATTTTTGCTAGATCATTTGGCGATCATAGCCCTCCTATGGATTCTCTTCGGTGCCACGGAACTGCAAATGAGCTGCCATCTTAAGCACTTGTCTCGACATAGGAACTTTACTGGCCACGATCGCTTCCACACCTTCCCGAAAATTTGCCATTTGATCTCTGACTGTCTGGGGCGCCCAAATAACATCCTGTTAGGGAAGGAGGGAGGGACTACCTCAGATCCGGAGCCCTTGGCATCCTTGATAATACGAAACTTCATTGACACGCAGTTCGAGGCGATTGGACTGGTCTGGATTGACTTTGCAACCTGCTTTTCACCTCCTATGGACGTCTGCCTTGTGGTGGCAAGTTGCAACATAATCGTGAGCCCGTTCGGTGTCTAGGGTTGGAATGAGAAAGAGGTGACTGTACGGTATGTACCCGAGCCGGATGAGATGGTGGCTGTCAGGTAGGACCTGTGTCAGGCCGAGACCACGGAACATGACTAGGGATCTGGATGCCTCGTTGTCACGATTGGTATCTTGTGTTCGGTGTCAAAGACAGCTGAAGATCCAGATGGAACTTCGTTGAAGAGAGCGGTTAGGAAACCGGCCCATTCTGCAAACTGGCCATCAGTACCTATAGTAAGTGGCAAGAAAGCTTATTGCAGACTCAGCGCAGGTGACTCCTTTGGCGCACACATGGCGACCGACATCGAGTCAATTTCCTCCGCCTTCGACCGGGCTTGGAACCTGAAGCTGTGTTACTGTGTGCGTTAGTGCCATTGTCGAACACCATGAGGCAGCTGCTCCTGTGACCGGCGTTGCTCACCTCCAGGCTTTCTTTCCGTGCTGAGACAAATGAAAAATCCTTGTTTAGCATCCAGTATACTTCTCGATACTTCAATACAAAAGTGTCCCGGCCCAATCTGCAGGTACGCGTCCTGTATCCGATCCCTTCATTCAGGCAGCCGTGTGCGTCTCATAATACAAGATTCTGTTTACGTTGTTCGACTCGCTCATTGTTGTTCAGATGACACGTTCGCCTCACTTGTGGTCAGCAAGCTGTCAACCCCACACGAAAACATAAGGCTTAGAAGATCGCTTGATTGGATCCAGAATGGCGAGTTCGTGCATCATTCTCGCTACAGACTCTGTCCATGCGAGGTGATTTGTGACGCTATCACAGGCCGAGAAATCAGCGTCTGGGAACAGAATTGGCTATTTCCAAGTCATATTGGGCTCACAGCCTTCATAATCCTATAGATTGCGTGACTCGGATCTCGGGGGAGGGGGTTGGCCACCGCCTTATATCAGCCTGTAGGGCCGGCAGAGCATGATAGGGCATTCTCATACACAACATTAATGCAGAATCAATGTTCAGAGATAGGGAAAGATAACTGGCGGCAAATAGTGACGATGTCTAAACCAATCACTATGTATTTCGAATCATGCCATGAAAGCGCTTCGTCACAATACTGGGATGTTTGAGCAAATCAATTTGCTCCCAGTTGCTTATCTGCGACGTCGCATCGCGAGGCCGGACACTCAATTTGAAGGAAAGTTGATCTTCTCTTAATCATGGAACATTCCAAGAACTTTTCGGAATACCCAAAAATCAATATCCTCTCTGGAACGGCTGTTCAACAAAGGGAAAAGAAAATGAAATTTCGTGACCGCGACACCCTTTTGCGCTGGCTTGCACAGTCAAGTGACTCGGTCACCGCTAAAGGCTCGAGATGTCTCGAAGTTCTGAAGCGAAAGCAGGGTAGGTTTCAAAAGTAAAAAGGAAAGGTAAAAGGGGCCTCGCATCAACTTCCCGCTGAGAATCCGTAAACTTACGCTTGATATTCGTCGTTGATTCCGGAGCTCCGACTTCAATATGCCAATTAGAGGGATTGAGCCTTGCAGTTGGACGACGTCGGATCGTCGTATGTAATCACAATGCTTGTTGGCCCGGCGGCGAGAGATTTTCCGTTGATTTTCATGAGGGGGTCTGCTTGCTTATCGACATTCCTATCGCAGACCCCTCTTAAAGCTTTTTTTTTGTCTGTTACAAACTCTCTTACGTTTCTCCATCCTTCAATTAGGTTATCAAAATTCAGTCTTATCCCATTTATCCCATTCTTGAGCTCGCTCTCTCGCCTTCTACACCTTCCCGTTAAGCCCTTCTAGGATTAAGGTCTTCTTGATATTCGGCTGCAAACGTCGTAAAAACCACCGATCCTCTCCATCTTTGACCCATCGGGCCTATCTGGTCCCCTGTGCTTCTACAGTACATACCCCTCGTTATAAGCCTGTGCAGCGTACCTTACAGGCCTGCGGGAAAACCATTTCGGCATCCTCTTCCCTTATCGAAATATGAATCTGTCTCGTTCAGATAGGTCTCTGAGGATCTTTGCTGCGTCAAGATGCCGCCGTCATGGATACCATCCTGGGGCGGTTTTATGAGCCTCGAATCAATTCTGTGCCTGGTTCTTGGGGACGGGCAGCTGGCTTATCACTGCTTGGCCGCGACCGCTGGGTTGTGCGTCCCGAACCGTTTGAGACACTTCCATGGCATTGGTTTCAACAAAGAAGATATAAAGAAGTCAAGTGGCACGCGCGAAGAAGCTCGCAACTTACTCGCATTGAAAAGCTCGTCAGATAATTCAATTCCTGAAAGAGCCCTGAGTGAGGGTGAATCAGCAAGAAAGCGGGCTATCATGTCTTCCAAAATGGTGCTGCTGCTCCCATTTTTTCTGATGTTTGCTGCCTTGAGTTGGGCAAGCTCACAGACTTGTAGTGAGTGATCTTGAAGCTGTTCTCAGGGAATCTGGGCTGATCCAGCTGCAGTACAACCTTCGACTTTGCCAGATTTGCTAGATGTTACCGCAGAGGAACTGATCACTGGCCTGGAGAGCGGGACATTTTCAAGTGTCGACTTGACGAAGGTAAGTTGCTGTGGTAAATCTTACAGCTCATTGCTGATGGTCAGGATAGGCATATATCCTCCGGATACAAGAAGTCAATGATGTTCTCCATGCAGTGACAGAGATCAACCCAGATGCATTGTCCATTGCAGCTGCTCTCGATGCTGAGCGAGCCAACGGAACTATTCGTAGCCCCCTGCATGGAATCCCGATGTTGATCAAGAACAATATTGCGACAAAAGACAAGATGAACAACACAGCAGGATCCTACTCCTTGATAGGGGCTACCGTACCACGTGACGCTACCGTGGCTGCAAAGTTGCGAGCAGCTGGTGTCATCCTTCTTGGGAAAGCAAATCTGTCACAATGGGCCAATTACAGATCTTCGAATAGTGTGAGTACCGAGGATTACGTTCCTTTTTTCTGAATTACTTGTGAACACCGAAACCTACATGCTCTACAACATGCCATGTAGAAGACGTTTTTTCTGCTTCTCGTGGTACATTCTTTTACAACTCTTTTCCGCCTCAACTCTGCAATTACTGACATCTCGACCATCTAGTCCAATGGCTGGAGTGCATATGGTGGTCAGGTCACTGGAGCGTATTACCCAAACATGGACCCTAGTGGTAGCTCCTCAGGCAGTGCAGTTAGTAGCTCTATTGGATTGGCGCTTGCAACTCTGGGGACAGAGACAGACGGCAGCATCCTCAGCCCATCGAGTGTGAACAACCTCGTTGGCATAAAGCCCACCGTGGGTCTAACCTCCCGATCTCTGGTCATCCCAATTAGTGAACACCAGGACACTATTGGGCCTATGGCTCGAAGCGTCACTGATGCAGCTTACATCCTCTCAATCATCGCGGGGAAAGACGCGTCAGATAACTACACGTCTGCACAGCCTTGGGATACTCCACCCGATTACACACGCAGTTTAAACTTTTCCAGCCTTCGGGGAGCTCGGATTGGGATCCCGAGGAATGGGATAACTGCTTCCAACACTAGTCAACCAATATCGGACGCCTTTGAAGCTGCCATCCAGGTGATCAAGAATGCTGGGGCGACAGTCGTCGATAACACGAATTTTTCTGCATGGGATGCATATGTGGCTGACTCGAGCGCGTCTCTGGGCAGCGAGAGTATTGTCCTCGATGCCGACTTCGTCTCAAATCTTGCGCACTATCTCTCTCAGCTCACGTCCAACCCCAATGGCATAAAAAGCCTTGCCGATGAGGCCAACTTCACGCACGCATTCAAGCCGGAAGCCTACCCGTCACGGGACACTGCCATCTGGGACCAAGCGCTCTCTCTGGGCTATAACAACTCCGACGCTCGATTCTGGAAGGCGTATCAGAAGACGAGCTTTTTCGGAGGAGAAGGCGGTGTTCTAGGAGCCCTGCGAGCCCACAAGCTCGACGCTCTGATCCTCCCAACGGATTATTCCCCGGGCCTACCCGCTCTAGCGGGACTGCCCGTGGTGACGGTGCCCATGGGCTTCTATCCGAGTAACAGCACCGTCGTCAAATCCGAACACTGGGGTCTGGTGCAAGTCGGCCCAAATATCCCGTACGTCCCTCCCTTCCCTCCCCTTTCTTCACACAAATCTCTTGATTCTATACTTGGTTCTTTGAACTTAAGGGCTGTGGCTGTCTTGAGACTCAATACTGATATTTAATATCGATTCTAGATTCGGACTTTCTTTCCTGGGCCCGAAATGGTCGGAAGAGAAACTCATCGGCTTTGCGTATGCGTTTGAGCAACGCACGCATATCAGATCGAAGGTGCAGCCTTACATTGTGCCGAATATTCAGCTGGGCGATGTAGTTCAGCCTTGAGCGGACTAGATGTACTGTACATAAATACCATAGGTTTATGAAGTGTTATCATAATGATGCATTACAATTACAATTCCGGTCACTCACTCACTCAAGAGAGAGGGGGAAAGATAGATCCGACTACAACCGCAACTGCAAGTGCAAATGCAATAGCCCGCGCGCACTGTTGTACCATCCCATTTTTCCCTTTCCCTTTCCACTTCTCACCGCCCACACCACACCGCCCCCATTTATCTATCTCCCTTTCCCCAACTCCGTAGACGGACATCCGCATTACCTTACATCCTGCAAGTTTTATCACTATCTACCGAAAAAGCAATCCTCCAATCATCAGTTCGCGATTTAGATAGATCCAAGCCCCTCCTTTTATCACATACCACAGGAAAAGAAAAGAAAACAACAGTGTTCTCCTTACTTGGCTCCCATATGGGAGGGAACGGATAACGTCGGATTTCTCTTTTTTTTTTTTTTTTTTTTTTTTTTTTTAAAAC